TTTGTTTTTTGTCATTTTACCTCTTACACTGCACCATGTGCACATAAGGTGTTATGTGGACCAAAAAAAAAAAAAGCCAAAGGACATTCTAGTGGGATTTTGCAAATTATTTATTCATGTGAATAAATTAGGCTCCTTGTATTATTCTGGTTTAGTTTTAAAACATTAAAGCATTTTATTAAGATACAAGTCAGCAAAAATACATAGCTAGCTCCCATGCTGTGAAATCCCTGGAAAAAAATCAGTTCCATTGATTTGGCACATGCTTTTGTGGAGTGGAAGTTGGTGTAGTGTTTGCAGAATCTGGACTTTTGTTATTAATGTTTGAAAACCAGCAGTTACTCACACGCTGTAACATTTATACTTAGATCCATATTGATACTGATAAATTCCATATGGCAAAATACAGTAAAAAAGATAGGTTTACATCCTAGACACACGCTGCTCCATTTTCATGGTCAGGTTAAAGTGAGAGTGTTAAATTAACAGGCAAAGAGCTTTACTGTATAAGAAGACAAATCCTTTCCCCAGCACTTAACCTGAGTAGCATCTTTCATAGAACCTGTGTTCCAGAGAGTTTTCAAAATAACTGTAATAAATAGCAGCAAACAGCGAGAAAGAGATTAGCAAGTAAAATCTTTTCAGTTGAGATTTGACCTGAGATGGTTTATTGATGCGCCATAAAGTCTGTTACAGATGGCACGAGCTGTAAAAGGAGAGAGTTCTTGCACCAGCAGAGGTGAGAGAATATTTACTAGATTTTAAGACCGAGAGGGACCATTCTGATTCTCTAGTCTGACCTCCGTGTATAACACAGATCCTCTAATCTCATGCAGTTCCTCCTACTTCAAGCCCAGAACTTCTGTCTTAACTAGAGCATGTCTTTTAGAAAGGCATCCAGTCTGGATTTGAAGACTTCCAAGTGTTGCAATGGTTAATTAAGCTCAATGTAAAAAAAAAAATATTCACTTTATTTCTTGTCTGAATTTGTCTAGCTTCAGTTTCCAACCACTGATATAGAACTTCCATTCCCAAGGGCTTCAGAGGGCTTCACGCATATAACTAAAATGCATATTATACATAGGATCACTTCAATCTATTTAAATGGAGCCACCTCTATGGTTGAAACAGAGCTTCTCTGCAACACTGCACAGCAACAATGCTTAGCACTTGAGATTAGAAATTAACAATACTTTAGATCATGATTGCTCAGCCTGTGAGTAGCCATCCAAAATTGTGTCAATGGCCTGGGGGTGGGGGAGGGAGTTACTGCGCCTGTGGGGAATGGGCAGTTGCGGGGGGGAGAAGGGGAGGGAGGCAGAGAAGGTGTTGCAACCTAGTGCATGGGTCAGAGTGCTGCTCAGGTTTCTCCCAGCCACCCCTTTGTCTTGATGCTGGGGGGGCGAGGGGGAGGGGAGCTGTCCAGACCAAATTTGAGTGAGTGCTGCTGTAACCCCACTCCAGGTTGCAATGCAATGCTCATAAATGTGGTCCAACCAGCCCCCACATCAGGGGCCTGTGCCAAACCTGAACGGCACGCCAACTCTAGAGAGCAGAGAGCTGAGCCCAGCCAGACACACGGGACAGGAGATGCACTATGGTACGCACAGTACACTTATTTAGTACTTACTACATTAATGTGTACATTATACAGCGTGGGTAAGAAATATTTAATAAGCCAGATTTTTTTTTTTGCACTATAGCTATTTTCTGGGTCATGATGGGCCATCGAGGTTTACAAATGGGTCGAGAGCCTGAAATGGTTGAGAACCACTGCTTAAGTTACAACTGATTTCAGGGGGGGATTTTAGGAAATTGGCCTGGATAACAGAACTAATGTATCTATCTTGCAGAAAAGCACCTTGGGAACTTAAATAAGCACCAGTGGTCAGGACCTTGTTTTTCGATCACAGCCAGAAGATGCCACCTCCAGTTGCACCGTGACCCACCTAGCAACATGCATGGGCACTGCTTTAGCACTGACTCAGAGGGAAATGTGCTACTTCAGAGGTTCTCAACCTTTTTCTTTCTCTGGCCCCCCACAACATGCTATAAAAATTCCAGGGCCCAGTGAGGGGGGACCCTTGGGCATAGGTGTAGTTTGACTTGTATTTTGGGAGGGCAGGGGCCAGCAGGGCTCCTGACAGCTCTGCAAGGCGGGGTCCAGGGAGGGAGCACCACCTCCACCCCCTGACTCACCTCAGCAGGCCACCCACCCAGCCTGTCTGGGTTTGGGGGGAGGGGTAACCAAAAATTATAACTCAAAGGTGGGGGGCTCAGCTCAAAAAGTTTGAAAACCACTCAGAGTGCAGGCAGCAGGTAGATAGGGGCTGTGTGCTGGCAGTGGGGTAGCTCAGGGTGCAGGGAGGGGCTGTGTCGCAGGAGGGTTCCCGGTTCCCCGAGGGCTCTGCCAGCCACAAAGCAGGGTCCCCTGCCCAGGCGGCCCTTACCGGCTGCATGAGCAAAGGGGGCTGGGAGCTGAGGAGCAGCTTCAGCCCCCTGCAGCAGCAGGAAGCGAGGAAATGCTGTGGCTGCCTGCTCCATGGCACCAGCCGTCCCCCACTGCCTGGCTCTGGCTTCCCACCTCCGACCTGGCCAGGGGGCGGGGAGAGAAGGAGGTGGGGGGAGTGGAGCTGCCCTGCTCTTGCACTGTAATTTTGGGAGGGGCAACACCCTCATGTCCCCCCCAACTGTGCCCATTGGCTCAGGGCGTCTGCCCTGTGGGGAGCACCAGGGCTCTGGAATTCAGCCCTTCTGCTTGTGCTTCAGCACTGTGGGGGGCACCAAGGATTGGAGCTTCAGACCCATGGGAGGCGCTGGTGCTCGGGCTCTGGGTTTTAGCCGTGGGGCCTTGCGAGCCCCCCCTGTTGAGAACCGCTGTGCTACCTAACAGTATTGACTTCCTAGTACTTGTACAACTTCCTGCAGCAAGAGACCTCCAAGGTAAACCTATCCAAGTACTGACCCTTCCTACTTTGTGAGATTTGAAGATTTCCCATTTAATGTTCTAGTTCTGGGCAGTAATGTAACTTGATATCTTGATTTTACTAAGGCATTTGCCCTAGTTCCACATGACATTCTCATAAGTAAACTAGGGAAATGTGGTCTACATGAAATCACTATAACAGGAATCGGCAACCTCTGGCACGTGGCTCGCCAGGGTAAGCACCCTGGTGGGCTGGGCCAGTTTGTTTACCTGCCACGTCAGCAGGTAAGCCGCGGCCAGCACATCCCGTGCCGCTTCCCGCAGGCCCCATTGGCCTGGGACAGCGAACCACGGCCAGTGGGAGCTGCGAGCGGCCGAACCAGCCGACGCAGCAGGTAAACAAACTGGCCCAGCCCACCAGGGTGCTTACCCTGGCGAGCGCATGCCAGAAGTTGCCGACCCCTGCACTATAAGGTGGATGTACAAGTAGTTGAAGGCCGTACTCACAAATTAGTCATCAATGGTACACTGTCAAACTGGGAGAGCATATCTAGTGGAGTCCCGCCAGAGTCAGTCCTGGATCTGGTACTATTCAATATTTTCATTAATGACCTGGATAATCAAGTGGAGCGTATGCTTATAACATTTGTGAATGACACCACCCTGGGAGAGGTTGCAAGCACTTTGGAAGACAGAATTTGAATTCTACACAACTGCAATGAATTGGTCTGAAATCAACAAGATGAAAATTCATAAAGATAAGTGCAAAACACTTAGGAAGGAAAAATCAAATGTACAACTACAAAATTGGGAACTACTGGCTAGGCAGTAGTATAGCTGAAAAGGATCTGGGGGTTATGGTGGATCACAAATGAATATGAGTCAACAATGTGATGCAGTTGCAAAAAAGGCTAATATTCTGGGGTATATTAACAGGAGTATCATATGGGAGGTAACTGTCCACTCCACTTAGCACTAGTGAAGTCTCAGCTGGAGTACTGTGGCATCTAGTTCTGGGCCCCACACTTTAGGAAAGATGTGGATCACTTGGGGAGATTTCAGAGGAGAACAACAAAAAGCTGACCTATAAGGAAAGAGTTTTTTTTTTTTGTTTGTTTTTTGTTTTTTTAAAGTTGGGCATGTTTAATGTTGAGAAAAGAAGACTGAGCAGGGACCTAATAATTCTTCGAATGTGTTTAGGGCTGTTATAAAGAGGTTGGTGACCACTTATTCCCTGTGTCCATTGAAGGTAGGACAAGAAGCAATGGGCTTAATCTGCAGCAAGGGAGATTTAGGTTAGCTATTAAGAAAAACTTCCTAACTATAAGAATAGTTGAGTGCTGGAATAGGCTTCGAAGGCGGAGGTTGTGTTTATTTGGTCGTGCCTCAGCACAGGGGGCTAGATGTTGCAAGGTCCCTTCCAGCCCTACAATTCTGTGATTATTAAGGGAGACACAACCCTGAAAAATCTAATTTTAAACAACAACATTTTTTTCTTGTCTTTTATGGACTCAATAAATAAGGCTGGACATTGGGCTTGTGCTATTTACCTGCACTCAAAACTAACCTCTGTTTTTATTGTAACTTAAGGGATCTGTCTACCTATGATCTAGGCTGCTGTACCACACTCATCATGGAGGAAAAACTTAGTGCCTGATACGTTTGTGAACAAGAAATCTGTCCAGGGCCGGCTCCAGGCACCAGGCACCCAAGCTGGTGCTTGGGACGGCACCTGGAGGGGGGCGGCGCGGCGCTCCGGCCGCCGGGGAGAGCGGGGCCACGGCCAGGCTCGCCGCCCTCCCCCCGGCGCTCTGGCCGCCCTCCCCCCCGGCAAAAAAGCCAGAGCCAGCCCTGAATCTGTCACCACGACCTAGGCATTGCTTAACTAAAGACAGAGTTTGGGAGATAGAAAAAGCACTGACAACCAAGTGATTAAAATGTTTTTTCCCCCAGACATTAGGATTCTTATTATTCAGGTGTTCCACCAGGAGCTAGGTCCTGGGAGCTATTTTAAGTTCTTTAAAGGAATAAAATCAATGATCAGTTTAAAAGAGGGTTACAAAAAAAAAAAAAATCAGGCTGTCACTGGTAGTTCCTTTGGGCCAGGTAGGTATAGTCCATTCCCAGAAAAGCTGCTTCTTCGCTCTTTACTCTTTGAACTCATTGGGCGTTCAGCCTCCGAAACAGGGCAGTAGAACTTGTGACCGACAGCATCGATTTCTTGAAGCACATAGCCTGGGGGTTCTTTGTAGGAGGCAAGGCATTTGACAATTTCCTTCGGCGTGTAGCTGGTGGCGTAGGTGGTTTCTGCATCGAGTGGCATGTTAGGCCGTGCAGCTGACCAACCCGGCTTAAAGCTCTTAGTTAAAGTGGGGGGGTGAGGCACGTAATGGGCCCGAAAGGTGGTCAGGTTCTCCATTGGTTCTGCTGGCAAAGTAAGTTCTGAGACAGGTATGATGGGTTTTGCTTTCTTACCATGCCATGGCTTGTAATCATCCTTCATGGTGGAGCAGCTGTCAAAGGGTGCAGTGGTTTTCTGAACATGGCCCAAGGGCCGACATGCCTTGGCTGGCTGTCCCTTAGGGTATGTGTAATGAGTCTGAGTAGTTGTCTGAAGGTCCATTTTCTCTACGGGGGGCACGTACACATCAGGTTTTCTGGTGAACATGGGGTGCTGTGGCCAAGCTTGGTATTTTTCCCGAAACTCTGTGGAAGAGGAAAATGGGAGATCGTGGGTTGGCATTGACTGGTACGGTTTCACTATCTTGGCAGGCGGGCCAGCCAGACCCTTGTATGATTGTTTGTGGGTGGTGAGGCCATCAAATGGGGTTTCACTGGGTTTATACTTCTCATACTCATGGACAAAGCGTTTCTCCAAGGGATGTGGCACATAATTCAATTTATAATTTGTCAGGTCCTCCAAAGGTGCCTTTGTCATGTGGGCTGGATTCAGAGGTTTGCAGCTGTGAGTGGCGACTGGTCCCTTATATACATAATCATCCTGGACAGTGGTTCTGTAGTCAAATTTTGCTTCCGATGGATGGTATTTATTGTCTGGTTTAATCATCTCTCGTTTTGATTCATTCCATGGCACGTAGTCACCTGAAATGTAAGAATCTGATTTAAGTGTCCATCAATGCACAAGTTCTGTAGTTAGTTTAAAAATATAACAGCCTATGCTTTGGTTATTAGTATTTGTTGTTTGTGTTAGTCGTGTCAATCAGGTAGGCACCGTACAAACACATTGTGAGAGACCATCCCTGCCCCTGAGGAGTTTACAATCTAAATAGACCACACAGAGAATGGTAGGAAGAAAGGAGGATTAGTTCATCATCTCAGTAAGATGGGGATGATGATAAGACACTGGGAGTTAAGTGACTTGCCCAAAGTCACACACTGAGTCTGGGAGAAATCTGGGAATTGAACCAAAGCCTCCTAAGTCTCAATCTAGAGCCTCAGCTACAAGCCAGTCCTTCCTCGCTGTGTCTTCCTCTTTGATGACAACTGATTTTTTCAATTGGCTAGACAGTTTTTCCCTGCCCAGAACGGAGTTCAGGGTTTCTTCTTGATGACATCTAGAGTAGTGCATTGAGAGGCATTTCCTGCTTTCTTTGCACTGTTCTATATGTTAGCAGTGCTATCAACATGTGCAGAACCCTGACCTCAATTATTATTATTAATTAGTTACATTGTGCTGGGCACTGTGCAAACATAGAACAGAGTTGATCCCTGCCCCAAACTGCTTACAGTCTTAAGTATAAGGCTAAGTATAATCTACCACTTTGCCAACATTAGTACACTCTCTGTAGAGCCCTGGGTGATGGGTGCATATTATATCCTATTTTATAGATGGGGAAACCAAGGCACAGGGAGTTAAATTGACTTCCAGAGCACACTGGAAATCTGTGGCAAAAACTCCTGGCTCTCAGACCAGTGTTGTAGCCACAAAGCCATCTTTCTTCCCTCTTACTAATCTTGTGCAATTGCCCCTAGAGAGCAATATGGTTACTGGTAGGAAGTTGAAATGAAATAGCCGTGGCAGTAACCCAAGTCTTATTTTTTTGCTTTGAAACCACATTGAGAGGCATGAGACAAATAACGTTCCAGCTGATTCTTTATAGGAAGGAAGTCTGGATTTCAAAGTACCAGAAAGTAAATGATGCAATTAGGCATCGGGATATTTGAATTTTCCAGTCCAAACAGTATTAGTCCCTCTGAATGATTGTGCTATAATACAGCACAATTACAATTATATTAGAGCTCCGCTCGTTACAATGCAAAGTTGAAAAATTAAAGCTTATTTTTAAATTAAGCATTTGTTCTCCAGTCTCTCTGCCCTGACACCCAGCATGAAGTGGCAGCAGTAGCCAGCACTGCTACTGCTCATACTCCGACCTCAGCCTAGCGTCCCCAGTGCACCAGGCAAAAATGGATTCCATGCAAAACTGCAAGGAGGGGCCTGCTAGCATGGGGACCTTCCAAGTGCCATGGCTGATGTTTGAAAATTCAGCTTGGATGAAATCCTGGCCCCATTGAAGTCAATGGCAAAACTTCTAGTGACTTTGGTGGGGCCAGGATTTTATTTTCTTCCTCAGAGTGAAGAGCTGTCTAAACTAATCTGGCCTCATTTATTTTAAGTGTTTACATAGTACCAGCCTTCCTCATATTTAGGTACTAAAGGGCAGATTTTAGAGGTATTTAGGCACCTAAAGATGTAGATAGGTCCCTAATGGGATTTTCAAAAGTGCCTAGAAGCTTAGCTACTATTGAAATCAATGGGAGTCAGATAGTTTGGGAGCTTTTGAAAATCCCACTAATCATTAATCTTCATCTTTAGGTGCCCAAATACCTTTAAAATATGGCCCTAAAGTCCTGGCCTCAGTCCGTCAGGCTCCACTACTAGATCTGTGGGGATGTCTAGCCATAGTGAGATCTGGAAGGGTGTTTTGCCACCCGCAGCACACCTGAAGTAGTAACTTTTCCAGACACTCAAAGATATCAGCAATGCTCAGATTGTTGCTAGGAACCTAAATAGCAGTGGTCTTGATGTTGTTCAAGAAATATACTGTTTGCATGGCCATGCCCACTCTGTGCAGCTTACACAACCAGTTAAGTATATAAAGTGGTGTGGTACCCACCTGGATGAGAGTCATGAGCTAAAGGTAATGATCAAGGCTGGGTGGACTAGTCCTGGAAACTATAAGGACTGATCCAAATAGGCTGATGTTAGTTCTGATCAATTCCCTTTGCTATTATCCCACCAGTCCTTTCTAAGTTAGTTCATCTGCCCATTGCAGCCTCTCACTGATCCCCAATCTACTCCAGCCCCCCTCTGTTCATCCCTTTTCTCCTACTTTTAAAGCCTATTGATGCAGGAGAGAGGAGAGAATGCTCTGCTGCGCCTTCAGTGCCCATGGGCAAAGCACATTGAAGTCATTTGTCCTCCCACCCCAGGGACGGCGCCAGGTTTTTTGCTGCCCCAAGCAAAAAAAAAAAAAAAAAAAAAAACACCGGAGTGCCGCCCCTTGAAAAGTGCTGCCCCAAGCACATGCTTGGTTTTAGGGAGTTAAAATAAAGTCATTCCATCACCCCCTGCCCCACCCCCAAGATGTGGCAGCATCCTGGAGATGACAGTCTGTCCTGCCTAAAGCTAAAGCTGCCCTTGCACTCGGGTCACACTTCCCAGCACAGCGGGGCTGGCCCTCAGGCTAACTCCAGCCTCACAGACATGCCCCATGATCTCTGAGGCATGTGCTGAGAAGTTTGAAGTGAGCACCGTCCCAGACCCAACTGAAAGGTGGGTGGGCCACATCACTTTACCAAAGTAGGAAGTCTAGAAGGGGAAACAAAGGGCGCATGTTAAGATGAATCCTAGAGAGGCTGTAAGGGGCTTATTAAGAAGTGGGTGACTTTGGAGTCTCCACTGCTTATGACATGCAGTCTCCAAGCAAGTGTAGATCCAGTTGAAAAGGCCTGACATTTCAGATGAGTATTAGAAACTAATCAAAACCAAACTGCACCCCAAAACCGTTCAGGGCTTCCCATCATCAGTTGTAATAATCGAGTCCAGGCACTTCACTGAGACCATAGTTTTAGAAATAGTTTCCACATGTCTTCAATTTTAAACTTCTATAAGTGCCACACATTTGGAGTCCTCCTAGGCATTATGAATTTACTTTAGTTTAAGCCAACAATGCTACTATCCCTTCAAAATATGTTACAGTTTTATTGAAACTAATTCTTTTCCAGTAGATATTAATGGTTTCCCATGTATCACCAGCTTGAAAACTTTAGGGGGTATGGGAAGGAGCCTACAATACAAACCACATGTTCCTAGGCTCAGGCAGCTCTCCATATAACCAAGCTAGACAACACTTTAATTTGATTATATACCTGTAGATAGACACACACGACTAAGAGGAGATGAAAACTTTGAAACCATGCTTCATGCAGTGTTAAGAAATCAAGTTTCAAAGCTGTCAGACATTAATTGTGATATCTGATAGCATCATTTAAAACCACCCTATACCACTGGGTTGGGTGGACTCACGACTTCATATGAAAGGCATTTATTGCCAAGGTGGCATTATTTGAAACCTCATAGAGCAGCACATTACAAATAAATTGCACCTTGAAAGGTGATTAATAAAGCCTTTTTATGCCATAAGGCTGAATAGGTAAAAGCACATTGAAAACCTTCCCATTTGTGACCTATGGCCTTTTAAAATGAATTAACACAATATGGAACCAAATCTTTGTGGGGTTGTTAGATGGAGCTTTCCATTTGCACAGTGTTTTGAAAAATACTACAAATTGCAACCAAATGTGGCTGTGCTGCATTTTATTAGAGCTCTTGAGCGCACTAGTAAAGGTCCTGACCTAAACACGGATAAAACAAAAAGATTTACATATGGTTCTTAGGTCGAATGGAAGCATGGCTAAACACATAGGGACAGATTCTCAGCTGGTATAAAGCATTGAGGCTTTGAGTGCTTTAACATGGACACCGATTTTGTGGCTTTTTGTCATTTTAATTGTGTAACCTTAACATTGCAGTCACATGGGTTTTTTCCCATTTTTATTTTCTTGCTTGATTTTTATTTTAAATAGAGAATTACTTATGCTGAATAGGGCCAAACCCTCATACTAGCAATCAGCCTGAGTAAGTAGACTTCTTGTTTTACAGCAGGAAAAAAATAAAATATTCCACCCTTATTTAAAGTCATACACAAAGTGCGAGCCCAGCCCTCTAGTGGTAGCACGACAGGCTGCCATTAGCAGATCACTGTTTAAGACCAAGTTCCTGATCCAGCAGAGGTTAGAAGCAGAGGCAAAATGCCTTAGTGTTATATGACAAACAACTCTAAAGCAAGTGGAGTTGCTCTGGATTCATGCTAGTATAACAATGCAGTATTCATCCCAGTGTGCTCAACCCCTAGGGAGAGGGAAGCAGTGCAGGTGGCTTTGTAGCCATTCTATGGCTGTTTCACGAGTAGCGTTTACAGGTTCTGGAGGGAGTAGCATTTAGCACTCATTGAACCAAGAAAGATGATCCCTGCAGTGAGAGACCTTCTGGTGAGGGCAGTAAAAATTAAATGGGGTGTAATGGTCTAATAGACAAGGCACAAGACTGGGAGACCAGGCTCTGCCACTGACCTGGTGTGTGGCCTTGGATGGGGATCTAAGGCATAGAGGGAGAGCTTAAGTAACTCACCCATCACATGGGGCTAGGAATACTTGCACACCTATCTGACGTGTTTTGTGGGCTATGATTGTGAAGTGCGATAGAAGTTGAGCCTTATCTGTGGGAGCAGTTGTCAGAATTTAAAGGACTCCTTCACCTTGGACGGAAAAGGAGAATGCCACTTCCATTCCAGCCCCGATAGAAGCCCCCACACACACATCTCATGACATGAAACAGCAGCAATTATTCATTCTTTAAAATATATATAATTAATTCACAAACACTGGAACGGCTCCCAGTTTACACCAGCATCACTGGGAGCAGATTCTTGCCTTGTGTTAGATGCCATTCTGAACTGGACTGGCCCCACTGACTGAGTTACTGAGCTAATCAGGAATTAGTTACGATCCCGGGCTAGCCTGGCCCACGCCGGTAGAGCATTCAGCACTGCTTTTCAGCACTCCCTCTCCCCTCATGGCTGATGTTAGGGCAGTGCTGAAGCTTTCAGTGATGCTCTAGGCAAGGGGCAAGAGAAGGGAAAGGCTCCACAAAGACCCAACAGCCAGCCCACTCCCACCCTGAAAAAAGGGCCTGACAAACCTGACACTAAGAAGAAAGTTAAATTAGATTAAAATTCTGTCCTTAGCCTCAGTCCAGCCCAAAGCGCCCAGGTTAGTTGACTTTCCAGTCATTCTCTTAAGGTTCCTACAGAACCAACCTATCAGGGCAATATAAGAAATAACAAATGCAGAAGTCTGTGTATCCTCATTCTGTTCTCTTCAAGCAAGATGTTACAAGTGAAGCCCTCCTACAAAACAGCTGCGAGGGTACATACCTTTGTACGTAGGTATTGTGTCCATCTTGACATTGGAAGTGTAGTTAGTCTCGCGGGGCAAGCAGGGAGGAACTCGACAGATAGGATAGGGGTTGTAGTCTTGTTTATATATTGAGATTAAATCCATGTTCTCGTCACTCTTGACATACTTTTCAGGTGGTTTGAATTTCACTGGCAACACTTCATGAGGTACGTAATCTCTCCTGTGAATAATAAAGGCAATACATCTTACTTGTGTCTTTGTCTGGAGGACTAAGTATATGTTCCTTTTGCTGGATACCCAAAGAAAGTTTGGATAATGCAATAAAGGTGGCTAATGCAATACACAAGACTTTCACTTGTAGAAAGCTGACAGTACTCCTGTAATTACAGTATGTGTGAAACAGGAGCATGGACTCCTTCAAGTGGGCCAAATTTCTCCTTGTTGGAACTCAGTGGGTTTACACAGAGTTAATTATGGACTTCAATGAAGTTAGACCAAGAAAGAATCTAGCCAATGAGTTTCGTGGACTCATTCTAATCTGTGCACATCACAAAGCCCACCACACTATTCGGAGGCCCATGTTACAGGTAAGGTCCACATTGGTGGAGCAGGTGGGCATGTTTCTCTTAAGGACTGAGCTGGGCCAGGGCTTGTAATAGGCATGGCCTGAGACAACACCATCACTCCATAATATTCATGAGCAATAATTTCTTTAAAGCTGGAATTTTTCAAAGGTGCCTAAATGAATGAGGCGCCCAAATACCATTGACATTCAATGTGAGTTGGGCACCTAGCTCCCTTAGGCTCCTTTTAAAAGCCCAGTCAAAGTATTTCAGCCCCGTGACTATTTTGGGACACATGCAAGACCCCCCCTCTGTGCAGGGGGAATGGCAGGTATCCTCTGACCATGCATTCCACAGCAGCCCAGCCAACGAAGGGTGTCCTAATTAGCCTGCCTGCCTTAACTGGTTCTAGCAGGTTCCTGATTACTCTAGTGCAGCCCCTGCTCTGGTCACTCAGGGAACAAACAACTACTCATCCAGTGACCAGTATATTTGCCCTCTACCAGACTCCTGTACCCCACTGGTCTGGGTCTGTCACATATCCCTCCCCCCTGCTCAACGCCAAGGGGTTGGGCAGCTTGGGACACCAGACAGTGCACACTTCCGATAAACTCCTTGGTGAAATCAGGGGCTATCAGTACGGGGTTATTGCAGAGGGCAGTCCGTAGGTCTGTGAATGCTTCCTCTGCTGCGTCAGACCATCTCACCAGATCAGGTCCACGGGCTTTCACTAAGTCTGTCAGGGGGCTTGCCCTTGTGGCAAAGTGGGGGATAAATCGTCGGTAGTACCCCACCACACCTAGGAACGCCCGGACTTGTTTCTTGCGACTTGGTCGGGGCCAATTTTGGATGGCCTCTAACTTGTTCACTTGGGGTTTTACCAGACCTTTTCCCACAATGTAGCCAAGATATTTGGCCTCTGTAAACCCTACAGCGCACTTGGCAGGGTTTGCTGTAAGGCCAGCTTGCCTGAAGATATCGAGGACTGCCTCCACCTTCTCCAGGTGGGTTTCCCAGTCTGGGGTATGAATGACCACATCGTCCAAGTAGGCAGCAGCATAACTGTTATGCGTGCATAATAGCTTGTCCATGAGGCGCTGGAAGGTAGCTGGGGCCCCATGTAGTCCAAAAGGGAGGACAGTATATTGAAAATGATCCTCTGGTGTAGAGAACGCAGTCTTTTCCTTTGCGTCTTCTGCAAGGGGAATCTGCCAGTACCCCTTTGTCAAGTCTAGGGTAGTCAAGTACCGGGCATTACCCAGATGGTCCACTAGTTCATCTATGAGAGGTATGGGGTACGCGTCGAACTGGGATACTTCGTTTAGTCGCCGGAAGTCGTTGCAAAATCTTGTGGTGCCATCAGGTTTGGGCACCAGCACGATTGGGCTGGACCACTGACTGTGGGATTCTTCGATGGTCCCCAACTCCAGCATTTTTTTTACTTCTGCTTTTATTTCCTCCCTTTTTGCCGCTGGCACCCGATAGGGCCTCATTGTTACTCTGGCCCCAGGGTTCGTGATGATGTGGTGATATGTCTCGGTTGTTCGACCCGGTTTTGTCGAGACCACATCTTGGTTCCGGAAGATCATCTCAGACACCTCATTCTTCTGGTCTGGTGTTAAATCGGGAGACACTCTCACCTGTTTGGAAGGCTTGTTTTCCTGGGTTAGGTCTTTTTGGACCGTTGTGCATGCCTCTTGTGCATGCTAGGGTTTCAGAAGGTTAACGTGATAAATCTTTTCTTGTTTTCTGCGTCCTGGCTGCCGCGCCTTGTAGGTTACTTCCCCCACGGGTTCAACCACCTCATAGGGCCCCTGCCATTGGGCCAGAAGCTTGCTTTCTGCCGTGGGTACCAACACCATAACCCGATCCCCTGGTTGGAACTGTCGCACTTTTGCCTGGCGATTGTAATGGGTTCGCTGGGCCTCCTGTGCGTTCTCCAAATGTTCCCGTACAATAGGGGTAACCCGGGCTATCCGGTCTCGCATCTGCATTACATGCTCTATTATATTTCTCCCCTCATTGGGTTCCTCTTCCCAGATCTCTTTGGCGATATCTAGTATGCCACGGGGGTGACGTCCGTATAATAACTCAAAGGGGGAAAACCCAGTTGAGGCCTGAGGTACCTCCCGGATAGCGAACATAAGGTAGGGTGTCCCAATCCTTCCCATCCCGACTTACCACCTTCCTTATCATAGCCTTGAGGGTTCAGTTAAGCCTTTCTACCAACCCATCAGTCTGCGGATGGTAGACCGAAGTTCTCAGGGTATGTATATGGAGAAGCGTACAGAGGTCCTTCATTAGCTTCGACATAAATGGGGTTCCTTGGTCGGTTAATATCTCCTTCGGTAGCCCCATTCGGGCAAAGATCCCCACCAGCTCTTTGGCTATAGTTTTAGAGGCCGTGTTCCGTAGGGGGACGGCTTCTGGGTAGCGAGTAGCATAGTCCAAAACAACAAGTATATATTGGTGGCCCCGAGCTGTCTTCTCCAGGGGTCCCACTAGGTCCATGGCTATTCGCTCGAAGGGGACCTCTATGATGGGAAGGGGTACTAAAGGTGCCCTCAAGTGGGGACGGGGACTGTGCAGCTGACACTCCGGGCAGGAGGCACAGTACCTCCGCACTTCTTCATGTACTCGGGGCCAGAAGAACCATCGTAGGACTCGTGCCAGGGTCTTCTCTACCCCCAAATGCCCCCCAAAAAGATGACTACGAGCAAGACTTAATACAGCATTCTGGTGTTTTTGAGGTACTAGGATCTGCTGTACCTTCTGTCCCTGTACTGGTGCAACCCGGTATAAGAGATCCTTCTTCATTATGAAGTAGGGTCATGGTCCTTGGGTTTTCCCTTCCACGGGGACCCCATCTATTTCAGTCACCTCCTTCCTAATATTGTCATACCTTGGGTCTTCTGCCTGGTCCTGTCCAAAATTTCCTCTCCCGGGGCTAATCTGCCCAAGATCTAGGGGCCCAGTCTCTGTTGCGTCTACTGGTTCAGAAGCGTTAGGGTGGGGGTCAGACTCAGGTGCTTCTCCCTCCTGCGTGGCCTCCTTTTCAGCTGCGCGGGTCCACCTACCTACAAGAGCGACCCTCTGGCTTTGGGTCAGTATTCGGGTTCCCAAGGCCTTAGCTGCCCTTCTTTCCCTTTTTGTCTTTCTACCCTGTCTGGGAGTGGAGAAAGAATCTGGGGATATTTCAGAGAAGATTGGGGGTTGACAGTCTGCTGTGGATGCCTCACCAATTTTAGGGTCCCCATCTTTCTCCATTCCCCCTACTGGGAGTAAGTTTCCAAACCCTGGGAAGTCCCTCCCTATGAGCACCGGGTATGGGAATTTAGGGACTACACCTGCTGCTACCTCAGTAGTGTTCCCTTGGATCTCGATTTTTACTGGGATGGTGGGGTAGTAACTAACTGTCCCAGGGACACATGTTATCCCCGTATGTTTAGCCTGTAGCAACTGACTACGCTTCACGAGCTTCCCTGAGATAAGCGTGATAGCACTCCCCGAATCAACCAGTGCCATGTTCCCTACCCCATTTAGTTTCACTGGTCTGGTATACATATGTGGGGTTAGTGAGACCTCCACAAGGTGGATTAGGGAGCATGGATCTGCCCAGTTCCCCAGGTTACACTGCATAGGCTCCTCAGCATTGGGACACTGTGCAGCTATGTGTCCCCACTCCCCGCAGGCATAACATCTGTATGGAGCCCTAGGCGTTCCCCGGTCTCTTGGTTTGGGCAGTCTAACATCACAATCCTCTTCTCCCTCACTGCTCCGACTCTTTGTGGACTCTGATGGGCCTTCAGCCTCTCTCTTTTTCCACCTGGGCCCTCCTGGTGGCCCAGTCACCCGAACTTTAGGGCTTGGTGCTGCTAGTTTAACCCAGGGTGCCTCTTCCTTAACTGGTCGGGTCAGCTCCCTCGCTGTCCTTCGCCTCTCTACCAGGGCGACAACCTCGTCATAGGTGGTGGGTTTGTTCTGGCTTACCCAGGCACGAAGGTCTGGTGGTAGTCCCCTCATGTATTGGTCAATGACCAGAACTGCTAGTATCTCTTCCGGACTCCGGGACTCTGTTTGCAACCACTTTCGTGCGAGATGGATGAGGTCATACAATTGGGACCGCGGGGTTTTGTCTTCCTGGTACCTCCAATCGTGATACTGCTGGGCCCGCACTGCTGTCGTTACCCCAGATCTGGCCAGGATCTCTGCTTTCAGCTGGGGGTAGTCTGCCGCAGCCTCTTCAGGCAGATCATGGTAGGCCTTCTGGGCCTCCCCACACAGGAATGGGGCAAGGATGCCAGACCACTGATCTCGAGGCCAGGCCTCCCATAGGGCTGTCCTCTCAAAGGCCAGAAGGTATGCCTCTACATCATCCTCCCGTGTCACTTTCTGCAGCCAATGGCTCGCCCGTATGAGCCGCGTCCCATCATGGCCGTGATTCAGCTCTGTAAGGGACTTTACTTGGTTTACCAGTTCCCGCAACATAGCTCGGTCTTGAGCAGCCTGGTCCATCAGCAGGCGATTAGTCTCTTGCTGCAGCCGCACTGCCTCCTGTTGGGCGGCTGCCTGGACACGAGTAGCCTCCTGCTGGGCCGCCATAGCTTGTATCAGTGCCCGCACTACGTCATCCATTGTGGTGAAAAAAAAACACCCTTTTTTTTAAATCACCCTCCTTCTTCCGCCGCGCTGTGCACCCCAAGATCCCACCCCTGACACCAGTGTGACAAAGTTCCTCCTATCTTGGTGGGTCCTGCGCTTATGGGCAGATTTTCTTGCCTCAGAGATTCACCATGTGGGTTGGGGAACAGCCCAGAGACCTTCGCCTCTGGAAGAACCCACAGTCCAGGTCAATTGGGAGGTTTGGGGGGAACCCTGGCCCGCCCTCTATTCCGGGTTCCAGCCCAGGGCCCTGTGGACTGCAGCTGTCTATAGTGCCTCCTGTAACAGCTGCATGACAGCTACAACTCCCTGGGCTACTTCCCCATGGCCTCCTCCAAACACCTTCCTTATTCTCACCACAGGACCTTCCTCCTGGTGTCTGATAATGCTTGTGCTCCTCAGTCCTCCAGCAGCACACCCTCTCACTCTCAGCTCCTTGCGCCTCTTGCTCCCAGCTCCTCACACTCACACCGCAAACTGAAGTGAGCTCCTTTTTAAAACCCAGGTGCCCTGATTAGCCTGCCTTAATTGATTCTAGAAGCTTCTTCTTAATTGGCTCCAGGTGTCCTAATTAGCCTGCCTGCCTTAACTGGTTCTAGCAGGTTCCTGATTCCTCTAGTGCAGCCCCTGCTCTGGTCACTCAGGGAACAGAAAACTACTCATCCAGTGACCAGTATATTTGCCCTCTACCAGACTCCTGTACCCCACTGGTCTGGGTCTGTCACAATATATAAAGTTTTGCTGGAGGAAGGTAACTATTTAAACAGCCAGAGACCAGTGCTGGATGACCGGTCTATTGTATTTTTGTTAACATGGTCCTATGTCATGGCTTAGCTCCTCCGGGGTACCACAGCCACTTTGCACCAAACCACCAGCCCAAAAGCTACAGTAACCATCCCCTGAGCCCAAAAGCTACAGTAACTGTCCCCTGAAGGATCTTTCCAACATCAGACAACATAGCAACAACTGTGCCACTACACCTTGTTGCTCGTGGAGGGAGCACAGCAGGGGCGTCTGTGTACCCTGTTGCTCCCTAGCTGCTGTATCTGCCCCTGGGGTCACTGGCCAGGGAACCAAACCAGCACAACAGCTGTCCCAGTATTGAGACAGCACACCCTACCCTGAGTGGCGCTGTGTGTAGCAAGGATCTAGGCCTTTGGCTTTTGCGGATTATACAAAAGTCACCAAATCTAACCAGAGGACTGAGAATTTGGAAATAGGGAAACGGAATTTCAGATGGAAATTTACATTTCCACTAGACTAACAAAGAGATACCGTTATTGAAACCCTTGAGTGGCTCCTGCACGCGGAACTTGAGTCCGGCATTTGTATGAGCTCTGGACAAGTGTTCCACATCCAGCCACTCCTGCTTCAGCAATGAATGTAACCATGGCTGCACAAATTGCTATTGGGATCTACTGAAAGAGCAGAGGTCGCCTGACCCATCACACACCAGCACATCCCCCTCAAAGAGAGAAGCGGGGCTTGAAAAGTACCTTCCCCAGCAGCTCTTTGGGTCTTGCATTAGATGGAGCACAGATGAGGAAGGGATTATTGATGACAGAGCCTGAGGTCACAGAGTAAGTAAACAGCAATATATTCAAACATCAACCAGAGGCCTTCAGCTCAAGAAAGAGAAATCAAATTGCCAGCTGTGTATTGAAGATTCAGAGTCTTGCATTTCAGTAGCATAACACACCACAATCTCCACTAGCAGGGAGCAGGTTTGCTGATTAATTTAGGGGGAAGTCAGGAAGGGGCACAGTTAAACCCGAGGTCTTGTATTTAAATTTCACAATCTGAACAGCAGCACAGCTACGATTCAAAAATGGTTCAGCATTGCATGGCATGGTACTCTGTGTGTATCTCATTTCCCCCATCATCATTAAAAACACATGGCCACTTATTGTATGTACGGTTTAGCACCTAGAAGCCCCACTCTTGGACCCGGCCCCTGTTGTGCTAGGTACTGTATAAAAAGATAGTCCCTGATCCAATGAGCTTAGGCCTGCCAGCCTTACTCAGTTCTTTTTCATGCAGAATTCCTGTTGACTTCCCAGGGAGTCTGCCCAATGCTGCAAGTGAGTAAAAACTAGGGTGAAAGCCAAGAGCCCAGACATGCTCTCTCAACAGATCACATTTCCCCATCCTGGAAGGGTCAGCTGCCTTCACAGCAGCAGCTCACCCCAAACTCTGGCTCCCTACATTATTCCCCAATGCCCCCCGCCCCCCCAGCAAAGTTACACAGCCCCAGCAAGGAGCACGTAACTAACTGTTCTCCTCAGGCGCTCCTTGAGGGAAGCAATGCTTATTCCCCACCCCCACATTCATTCTCTCACCCTCCCTCCCTTTCACTGTTTCTTACTTGAAAGTTGTCATTCCCTCCACGGCCACTGGCTGCTTCTGGTATTCTGCCTTGGGCTTGAATGAGTCTCTGGGATGGGCGTAGGGATACAGGGGGTATTGCTCCACGTACTCTGACAGGAAACATGGCTTCTCGCTCTTCTCATAGATCCTGGTGGGAAGATGTGGGCAATGGTGGCGCCTGTGCAAGAGAGTAGCATGGACGTTATTGACTGAGCTTCAGGGAGGAGCAGAGATGTTGGTGCAGGGCTTCAGCAGCACTGGTTACAAATCACCCACCATCAGATGTAACTAATTACAACTAACTATAGGCATTATGAAGCATCAGGCAAAGTTCTGGCCCATGAAAATAGTGACACGCCTCCCTTGGTTACAATAGCCTGCACTAATGACAACCTATAAAAAAACACCAGCCTTAGGTTAGAACAGCGAGTTAACTCAAGGTTAACTGATCCTAGATTTAGCTAAATACACCCTACTGTGCCAGACTGGGCACTCCATTTAACACCCTTTTGCTCAGTTGTTCTGATTAAGGATTGGAGTCTCCACAACCTGCACCTTATGCAATTGTCCAAAGCTATGCAAAGTGTATGTGAAGTACTACCAGGTCAGCACTCACCCCTGTGTGGCATTTCACACTCACGTCACACCAGCGCTAAATGGCTATGCAAGTGCAAGACAAGGGAGAATCCAGCCCTAACAGCATAAACCTGCTCCCGTTTCCATTGCCGTCAATAGGAACAGAAGCAAAGGGACTCGATCCCGCAAGGCACTGAGTGCTCTCGATTCCCACTGACACTTGGTAGCTATGTCTTCTGAAACCCCGAAGGCCTGTCAGGTTGTGAAACACTCTATTACAATCTACTGCCAAATGGCATATTTACAGTGCTTTACTTCCTTTTAAACTTATTTACAAACCGCACTCGCATCTAGCACATTTAAAACCATCTCTTTGGCTCTCAACACATCTTGCATTGGCAAAGTAGTATAATGCCTGGAAACATCTGCATACCTCTGGATTTTCAAGTTGATGCAGGTCATAAGCCAGCATTGTAAACAATAAACCTTTCAGTATGGATCCCTGAGGTACGCTCTGCACAAGCTTAAAACATTCTGAAATCTAGTGCTGAGCTAAACAAACATTCTCTTTCAGATTAAGCAAATCAAAACCAAAGTCAAGGTCACTCCTTTTTTCATTAATAGTAAGTCAGGGGCTTTATGGAAATCATCAAATAATATACTCATTTCAAAACCATTAGCCAAAGTTTGATTGATGCTATCTATAATTTTAAAGAGACTCCCTCTACTTAAAAAAAAACACTCTTCTGTCTGGAAAGTTTTTACATACTATGGTTCCAAGTAACCCCTGAAATCACTTCAAAAGAAACTGGGGGGTGGTGATATTTCCTTTGTGCATTTGACAGCGCTTTGTGTATAGTCAGTTTCACTGTATGGTTAGTTACTCAGTTTCACCTCTTGTTTATGTGGCTCTTTCACATTGCAGCAAAGGAGAGACTGTCCCATAGAAAATGTGACTGTAGCCCTTCTCCCCTCCAGCCCCAAAGGGACTTGGAGGTAGGTATAGAAAGGAGCTACTTTTAACTTGTCTTTTGAAATTGACGGGATTTCAAGTTATTTGTAGTAATTATCGTTGCTGTTACAGGAGCATCCAGGAATCTCAGTCAAGGATCCCCTTTGTGCTAGGTGCTGTACAAACAAGACACAACGACGACAGGCCCAGCCCTGAAGAGAGGGTTACAAATCTAGGTGGCAGTGATCCTTTAAGGAAGGATCTAAAACCAGATTCAGAATAGTTGTTATGAAAGACTTAAATTGGTAAATTGTAATAATATTTCTCTAGACAACACTAGAAGTAATGAAATGGTGTTGATTAGAACAAGTAAGTTGAATGGCTCATTTGTGGCTTTAAGCCAGGGCTTGAGGCCGACACATCTCTTTGGGAGTGCTGGAAAGTGCATGAAGGGAATAACTACTGCTACACCTTGTTCCAAGCATCAGTGTTCACAAGCCAGTATGGGAAAGACGCGTGTTGTCTCAGATAGGCTCCTGACCAGGTCCTCAGTGACCAGTTTATGCCCTGAAACATGGGGATTTATATTCTTCTTCTTTTTTTCTAACTCAACTTCCTGTTGATGTCGATGTGCGTTTTGCTGAGTAAAGACTTCAGGAATGGGCCGACAGGGATTACAGCTAGAAAAGACCTGTGGTTTTATGTCTAGTGCATCATCCATGCCAGTGTGTGATTATTCCCTTCTGTATGTTCTCCAGAGCTCTAGCCAGTCTCCTTTCAAATTATTCAAATAATGGGGCTTCCATACTTAATAAAGTAGCTGTTAAATCAAATGTTTGTCTATCTAGCATCAGTCAATGTCTGATTACCCAAAGTTACAGAGGTAGCCGCTGATCTATGTATGGGGTCACATAGAATTATTTTCCAAACTGCAGGTCACAAGGGAAGGACAGACTCTGCTCTCAAATAAAATTCAGCCTTTGCTTGACAAGCCAATTTTCTACTCTGGCGATGAATCTTTCCATGAAACCGTAAATCAGAAAGAGCCACGGTAGATTCATTTTTGCCTTGGAGAGGCTTTAGGGCTTGGATGGATGGTGGAATGAAGGAGATCATCCCAGTTTGTTACCATGTTCGAAGAGTTAAGTTTAAACTGGCAATTTCAAAAGAGCCTAAGAGAGGTAGGCACCCATCTCCTAATGAAAGGTTAGTGAAAATGGCACCACTCCCCATTCAAGGTCAACTCTTAGGTGCCTTTGAAAATCCCAGATTTTATTCAGCTGGAAAGAGGACAAAAAGGAAAATAAGGGGCAAATCTTCCCCCCAATCCTAACCCAACTTGGCCTTGGTGCAGCGTGTTTCGAGGGGATGGCGAAAACACTCAATCCTCCCAAACAAGAGGCCACTCAGAAACGACAGACAGACAGTGACCTCTGATGCAGTCTCATAGCATCCCCAGCAATTCCTCCTTAGCCCTCCAGGGGAGGAAATGGACACTGGATCCTTCCAGCCTCAAATGTGCTGGTCTCATGCCTGACCCTAAGCTCCTTTCCTTCCTCTGCGGACTGGACACGGTGAACTCCTGCTGAGTTCAGCTTTGCAGTGAGCAAGGAGTGATTGAGGCCCTGATATCCAGCCAGTTACAGCGGAACCACACTGAATCCACTCTTATTTACTACTCAGACTATGGAGAAAACATCTATCCTGCAAAAAACTGGAGGCATTTGGAGCAGGATGGACACCTCATGCCCAGTTTGTCATTGCCCTGCATTGTGAGCAGTCTTTTACACCAGAGCAAAGAAAGTGCAGAGTTCACTTTACACTGGAGTAAGTGGCTGCATGCAATGCAGGGCAACAGTGAACTGGGTCCTAACTTTCTTTGAAGTATGGGGTATGCCACTAAACTGGGGTAGTGCCTAGCTAATAGGTGCTTTACAAGGAGCATAGATACTTAACACAGAGCTTTACTGGTACTAGCTAAAAATCCATTTGCCCTGTGTATACTGTTGATAGTAGATAAGAAAGATGGGGCCCCTCTGTTCTTCTATATAACAATCTTAATCAAATGTCCTAAAAGGTTGAAGACATTAATTCAAGGAGTGATTTCATTCATTTACTTATTTGGATTTGTAAAAACACAGGAGACACCTTTCTGATCAGTCTCAGCTCCTCAGATACTTATAAATCTAAGGAAAAACAGAAACCCATAACATACAATAATGCTAAGTAACCAAGCAGAAGTAAGCCGTACTCCCCACTTTTCCTAAACATCGCCCCCAATAGTCATGCCTCTCTAGTTGCCCTTCTACAAAGCTGTGCTCTGCATTGTGCCTTTTAGTTTCACCTAATAGGTGCCAGATATTCCTGTCCTCTGCACAGCGTGGAAGGGGGCAGCAATTGTGTGTGCAAGGCCCTCACTCTGCCTGGAGGTAGAAGCAGCCCCTCCATGTGAACATTGGTCATTTGAGGGCTCTGTTACAAATTGTGTGGAGGTGAGTTTGCCATGCCAACAAAGTGCAGAGCCGTGAAGCTGCAGGTTCTCCTGGCAAGATTACAGGAGACCTAAAATTCACAGCAAAATGCCGCAATGATTAATGCTGCTCAGAGCTCCAGCCTCAGAATCCCTGACCAGATAGAGCTGAAATTGTTCCATACGACTTCTAGACTCCTTCCTCTACCCTGACCTCACACCTTGCTCACTAGCTGTTCTATCATTGGTTCTCTCCTTCCTTCATTTGCTGAACAGAGCAGTCACAGGAATCGGCTCCCCTGAAGACAGTGGTAAGGTAGTGCTTGAGTGATGTGGATCTCAGGAAGGAGATGATCCTTCTAATGGGAAAGGGCCTGGAAATATTCTCAATCTCCTGCAAACAGTCTTATCCCAGGCCCATGGAACTGTGGCAGACCGGGGCAGACATTTATTGTGTTGAGCAGAGCCTAGTGTGGTCTGGAGATGGGCCTGGGTTTAAACCCAGACTCTTCGCCTGCCTCAATATATACACTCAGCCTCTTTCAATTATTTTTTTCATTCTCCAAGCTATACAAGTGTATGTTCTATATTTAATATCAGATTACGAAAACAACACTTGGAGGTGTCTGAAAGTTAGCTGTTGAGTCAAGTGCTTACCCATAATAAATCATCCATGGCAGGGTAGAAAATCTCTAAGTGTTTTGCCTTCTACTTCTTTGCCCAAAATTGTGACGTATGCACACATGTTACTGTAACACTTACAGTATCCCATACACACAATGAGCAGGGGAAAGGATAAACTGGTGGTAATTCACCACTGACGTCTGATAAAATAAGCCACTTTTGCATCGAGAGAGCCTTTCTTAAAAAATGTTTTAAATGGACACTACTGTAAATCACAGAGCAAGATACTTAAGAACAAGGAGTAGACCAATACTGAAGCAAACCTTGAGCTCTACTTTACTGTTCCTTTGGGCCTTTAAATATTTATAAAACAATTACACAGTCATTGGGCACTGAAGTCACTGTTATCTGAACATGGTAAGTCGGTATGTCAGTGAGAGTTTAATAGTTAATACACCTGGGCAAATGATAGATTACCTCATGGATTATAATTTCTAACCCCTGATTATCCATAAACTGTGACATTTGTTATGCTCCCATGGATGCTTCATAGTCT